GTGAAGTTTTTCATATATGAAAATAGTGTTACCATAAAAAAAAAAAAAAAAAAAAAAAACAGAATCTCATATAAAACTGGCCACTCACATTGCTGGAAGGGTTAACAGGAAACGGAGACACATCTTTGACATTGATTCGCTGAACATTTTCTATGAGCAGTCCAAAGAGTGGCAAATACATAGTGGCTATTCGTGCCTGATGGCTCTAAAATAGAGTTCCACAATTCATTAGCAAATAGCAGATTTCATGTTGATTATCCAAGACTATTTTTTAAAGCTACTTTTTTTTTTTAGTATTTCTGTTAAGCTGCAGAAAAAATGCTTCAAGTGGATTCTTTTTTTTTTATCTAAAAGTAAATAGAGTTAATTTCATATTAACTTGATAAATTCGTGGTACCTGTTAAAATTTCATGGCTTTCCCATAGCACAGCTGTTTCCTTTTTTTTTTTTTTTTTTTAAAAAAAAAGACCTGGAAAATTAAAAATCACTCAAATTTTACCACTATAATTTGCAACTTAAACTCTTTTATCCTCAATAAGATATGATAAATGTACAACTGCTGAATCTTAAGAGCTAATGTTTACTGGAAATAAGAGCTTTTAAAACAGACAGTAAAATTCGCTTACTGTACCTCTTCGAAGTTAGTGCATCTCAGCTATTTCACCATACCAAAAAGCAATAAGCTTAATTAATAGCATAATTATGCTAGAAAAGGAGCTTTGTATTTTTATCTGGCAAAAAACATTTGGCTTTATAGATTTTGATACAATTATCGACTAAATTTGTTCACACTAATACAGTGCGAACTGGAACAGCATGGCTATAAAGTAATAAATTTCAGGGGAAGGGAAGGGAAGGGAAGGGAAGGGAAGGGAAGGGAAGGGGAGGGGAGGGGAGGGGAGAATATATGGCCTTGAATGCACTGAATCTTTATATTTTGTACTCCTAATAGAGAAAATGCACTTACCCTGGAAGCATATCTGTCATCAAAAGAATGCTTTATCATCAAGTTCTTGAGCACACTAATTGCAATCTGCCGGATGTCTCTGAACTCCTGTAACGCATTTCCCACCTCCCTCAGAAGCAATCCCACTAAGAAGTGATTCTTACAGAACTCATCTGTTAATGAATAGTCAAGGTGAAGGTCTGGAAATAAAGCACAAGCCCTCTGTAAGGAATAGACCCATTTAAATTAATGTATTAATTGACAAGAAGTTGAGTAAAAATGTTCTCCAGCTTATTCACAATGAAGATTCCAGATGATGTAACTGTAAATCTACACCAAGCTGTATATGTATACAGATACTTCTATACAGATGTTAAAAGATACACACACAAATATATATCAGACACCAAAATCGAGCTATTCAAAATAATTATTTGAATACCAAATGTACCAAAATACCAAAATGTACCAAAATACCAAAATAATTACTGAACTGATTTGCACAGTGAATATAGCACATGTGGCATCATCTATTTACTATAACACAGAGGAGCTAATCTCAAGACTTTCTCTGATTAACTTTGTTCAACACAACAGTTCAAGACCAGGGGCTCATCTCAAAGTACATTCACTTTTTGGAAGAACTCCCCAGTAAGGGAGTCCATTAAATGGAAAGAAACACAAATAGTAATGCATAGACTTTCTACAGTTCTCCTTGTGCAAATAACATAACAGCCAGTCACATTCCAGCAGAGATGTCTCGTGTGGGATAGCAAAACAAATCCAGAAACACTTGTGCAAACCATCTTTTTCCCTGGCTAAGCTCCTAGATCACCAAGGAGCAGCATTTTATACTATTCTTTATTGTGCAGTTAGAAATACTATTTCTTCTAGTTCGGTTATTCCCTTATACACACTAAAACAATCCACAGGTGCTTTTCATTGGGAAGATTTACACAATGTTAGTATCTAATGCATTCCTGAAGGCTAAAAAAAACCCCAAACACACAAGCTCTACACAGTTATCCTAGTCATATTATGCTGTTCTATCTTAGCAAAAGGTCTGATGAGTTTCATTCAACTTTACCAAGACAGCAGAGGATACTGAAAAAATATTTCAAGAGAGATAAATCTACCGGAATTAGGGTAGATCTGGTATACCAGAAGTATGAAATCCACCAGCCCAATGGAACTAACAGGAACTATCAGTAGCTTATTTTCCTTGGTTGTAAAAACGCCTTCCTTGTCTCTGCTATGCATGTTTGCTTTGCACCAACACTGGGAAGAATGTAATGGTTTTAAAGCTGCAGATGCTAACATACTATTTATTTTTGGCACATTTGGTTAGGTGTATCAAGAGCCCAGTTTTATATACAAGAGATGCAGACAGAAATGAGCTCCACCAGAGGAATATAGAAACACTGACCAGGGATGTAGGGTGTGCGCCAGGAAGGCCAACACATAGCTACAGCTGAAGCTGGAAATGGCCACCAACAGCAACACGAGCAGCTTCTGCTACTGGGGAATGGAGTGACTGGTGAGGGAAGAGCTCTGCTGCAAATGACCCAGGAGTCCGGGTAGACAACAGGTTAAACAGGAATCAGCAGTATTTTCTGGCAGCACGGGAGGTTGCCCAGGCACACTGGGCTCTATCAACAGAAGCACAGCTAGTAGGTCAGGAAGGGATTTATCTGCTTTACTTGGCGTTTGTTAGATCACATCTGTAATACTATGTCCTGCTATGGGCCCTCTAGTACAAGAAATGTTTAAGTGCATTCAGTGGAGGACCAAGATAATGGAAAGCTTGGAGCACATGACCCCTAGAGGGATAAATTAAGGGATTCAGTTTGGAGAATAACCTAAAACAGCCTTTTAACACATAAGGGAGGTTGTCAAGGAGATAAGAGTTAGGCCAGGAAAGGCTTTACAGATGTGCACAGCAGAGAGGCAGCCATCATAATTTAAAGCAGAGGAGATGTGTTGGATACAAGGGAAAGAAATTCTTCACCACAAGGATGGTGGGACTGACTGCTGTCCCAAATGAGCAGTTTCCTAGGGACACTGCAGAATTTCCATCCTTGGAGGTTCTCAAGACCTGACTGGACAAAGCCCTGAGCAACCGCATCTCTATTCTGTAATGCCTCTGGTCTGAGTGGGACTTACAGACCTGCTGAGTAATTCTATTAAGAAAAAAAAAAAAGTTTAAAAAGTTAAAAAAAAAAGGTAAAAAATGCACCAAGCATCACACTCCGCACCTACACACAGAAATGCTGCAGAGCTCTACAGCTTGTGAATTACAAGCTAACTCATGAACAGAATCAAACTACAAGCAGAGGAGGGAAATGAGGCAAGAACCATAGATTGAATCTATCTTTCAGTAACTAGTAACTAGATACTTTGCACAGATCACCCTGCTACCTAAACTATTCTTTTGATATTAAGAGATTACAACTTTGGGGTGCCAATACTTTCAAAAGTTCAAAGATATCACAGACCTTCAGTTACAGTCTACTTGTTTAACAATAAAAAAGCTGTGATATACGAAATATAGCATACACTTTTGTAGTTGGATTACCTTGGTATCTCTGAATTCTGCCCTTTCCAAATGGCATTGGTAGATTCAAAGGGATGTAGTGCTCATGATTACAGACTACACGGAGAAATTCAAATTTGAATTCAAAGAGTGTCTGCAAAAATCATTTGAAAGTGTAAATACAACAGCGGATGCAATGATCTGAATAACATGCCCCAAATCACTTTCTTACACAAATGGGTGGTTTCTCTCAGTCTGTGAAAGTTCCATATGCCACCAACAAATACTTTTAGTACAGTTCATAACCAACAGCTGCATATAATTCTATTTCCTATTTTCTGTCTCCCATAGGTAGGAAGTATAGTCATTTCGCATGTTATACAATGACAAAACAAAATTCTGGAATCACACAATATATCCTTTATATATCCTAAATATATATCCTAACACATTCTATCCCCATTACTGTAAATGTATGGAAACACATGAGCTATCAAAGATCCCAACTAATGGAGACAATTATGGACTGTCATTCTTGCTTGATATTTCTATTTTGTTTTACCCCCTTCATTTTCTAAATATACATGCTAGGGAGTGGACACTCCTGAAGTCTGAAGTCTAAATATAGAACTATCATGCACAGGCATCAGAAAGAAGCAACTCTTAAAAATGGTTTGTTACAAAAAGAGTACCTTTGGATCTCCTGGGGCAAAGCAGCTGATGTAGTTATTGATTTGTTTGAAAACAAAACCTCTATCCATAAAGGTAAAACACCTCTGAGGAAAACAAACAAACAAGAAACAGTATTGATTTAATACTGTCTCAGTACATATGTGTTTATCTTTCAAAAACATTATTGATATTTCATTCAGTCTGAAGATAACCGATAAAAACAGGCATGCTACACAGATGAATACCACATTTTTCCCTTAGAGAGAAAAACACAAGCAAATCACAGACGAAAAAGCAATTTGAAGATAAATCACTCATCTTGAAATACACGTGAAATGCCCTGAGCAGCTTTATCTACTGTTTTTTTCCCCTCTTTTTTTTCTCTCCACTGTGTCTTATTCATTCAAAAAGAAAAGATGCTGAAAGCAGCCTACGTGAAAAAAAAAGTGAATAAAAACCTACTCAATGCATTAAGTTTTTGTAGTGCTGGAAGCGAACTGGAATATATATGAAAAAATAAACAAAAAGTTTGGAAAAGATATTAATTCATAAAAAAAGCCCCAACTATGAACAGATGAGTCTTTTGATACAAAAATGTAAATTCTACATCTTTACTTCAGCATAAAAGTGTACTTAAATAGCATAGTGCATGTTCTGTTTTATGCGACTTGGCCTTAAAAATCCTTAAAATACATAAAGAAACAGCTTTAATGAAAAGTGACCACAGGACCCCAGCCCTTGTGTACCTACTTTTATGAAAGCAGCGAGGCTGTGGTTTGCATTTTTGGAAGCCTCTGGATTGTCTCTRTACTTCTGGGTGATGTGAGGCATGAGCATATTAACAACTGTTTCAACTGCATGATGAAAGGAAGCGGAAAACCTCTGGTTTCGCAACAGCTAGAAGCACAAATGCAAATACACATTTAGTATGATTTGTGACAGCAAAATACAAAAGAAAACTTATTTTAGATAAGATCCAGATAACGTGAGGGAAGGAGGACACTTTTCAAACTATATGTATCTACTATATGACACTATATGTATCAATGATACTGTCACACACTTTTCTGTCATGAAAAACAAGGTTTTCTTGTTGCTTTGAAATGCATTTTTAAAAGTTCCTTTGACTTTTGCCATCATGGAAATTCTCACCCATGCATTTATCTTTCAAGAACTGCAGCTCTTGCTCATCAGTTACATCAAACCTCAGCTGTTCCAGTCTTCAGAATTACAAGAATCTTGTTCTCCAAATATGCAGGGTTTCAGGGTTTACTTTTTATCATCTGTATTACCTTTATCAATGATTTCATACATTCTGACCAATGCTGATAAGTTCTCTTCAGGCTTTTGCTGTTGTATAGCCAATTTCTTAACATTTTATAGTCTTTAGTAAATATTCTATCTTTTGTCTGAAGGAACATATTGACAGAAGGGGTAGTGCTGAGAGAAACTGGCAATGACAAAAGCTGTTTTAACTACACAGTCATATTTTTCCTTTCTGTAAAATGTCAGATATCAGACTGTTCTGGAATATTTTATTAGTAAAATGCTTTTCTAAATTAAATTGAATGCAACATACCCAGGGACAGCAAATCATTGTCAAGGTCTTGCATAAATCAATGATTACAAAATTTGATGCGTCTGAACCGTGCTCCAAACCCTCTAGTTCTATCTTAATAAAAAATCAAGATATGTAAACGTAAACTGAATTTTCCCCTTCCCGAATCTTTTGGTTCTTTTTAATGAAACACTTAAAATTATTTATAGCAATCCCAAAAAAAAAAATAATTGAAATGTTTTAGAGAAGTAATGTATTGCATGTTTTAAAATAAAAAATACTCCATCTTTCAAGTACATAAAGTTTGAGGCCATTACGTCTATCCTACTGTTTGTTACTAATGAAAAATAAAGCCAAGGACTTCTCTTATGACTTTTCTTAGGTCTGCTAGACATCAAGTGATTAGGTTCTTTTGGAATAGTAATAATGGTCACATCATCCCACCTCACGCGCCCTTCTATCATGATAACACTTATTACACCAGCTAATCAAACCTCTATCAAACACTTGTAATTGACACGATCTTCCAGTGTCCTTTTTTCCCTTGAAAGGCACATCTTGCTATATTGAATTTACTCCTCATATCCTGGTGCTCTCCAAATGCAGGAGATGCCAATTAGGGGAGAGGATGCTTAGTCATGGACGCTGGCAGAATCATTCTAAGAAGCTGTGTTTGTTTTCTGTTTGTTTACACAGGCTCTTGCTCTTTTTTTTAAAAAAAAAAAAGAGATTCCATTCTACTGTACTTATTCTACGCACCATCTGATCTTAATTTAAAACAGTAATTGCTACTGTAAGGAAGTTATAATTAAATTAAGGAAATGGGTTTACATGATAGCAAGTTAGTGGTTTCTYTGAAGTTTTTTTAATCCAGTCTGCTCTTTCCGAACTTGTGAGGATTCACTTGTATGTTTTGTAAAATGAGGAACTTTGGTTAGTCAAACAAAAACATTCCCCTCCACCCCCACCAGAATACCAAATACAAAAGTAAACATTCTCAGTATTACAAACAGCATGTTTTGAAAATCCTGCCCAGAGGTGCCATATTCTGTAATTAGAATATACATCTTTTCAGTGTTGAGAAATGTTAAATAAGAAGTACTGGCAATACCGACAAGAAAGTCAACCACAAAAAAAAAAAAAAAMCCTAAACCAGCAGAAGGGGGGAAAAAAAAAGTCTTTCGGTATTAATACTAAAGTTTAGTTACTCTGTATTTACCAAAGCTGTCAATATCGTGAGTTGTCAACTCACTTTTGAGTGACACAATTTTAATTCAACTGCAGGAGTCTGTAGAACATTTCAGCTTTAAAATAAGAAGTTTCTCTCTTTTAGCAGACTACACTTTTATTTCAGTTTAGTTAGTGGCTGTAACAAGTAAACTCAAAATAGACTGTGGTAAAATAAGAAACATTCCTTTTACAGACTGAAAAGAGACGAAATCTGTTCTAAGCAGCATCAAATCCTTAATGGAAAATTAAGCTTATAGATTCTTGATTTAACAGCATTTTTATTGATCAGTGGTGGATAAAGTGGTGGATGAGTCTTATCTCTTGCTAGAAATTTTGATGTAACCCCAAACACTTAGCTATCAATTAACACCCAAGAGAGGTTTGACATCTTCAGTGCACAAAGATACAGTGCACTAAGCGTACAGAAAAGCCCTTGTGCACATGTTTGTAATTTTAAAAACAAATAATAATAAAAAAGACAAGCAAGTATTAGACTTCATAGTTCCCTAGACAGTTTATTTTAAGACGTCTGTGATAAAGGCTTTCCCTCTTCCACATTTCAGAAGGTACTTAAATCGGTAGTACTAGTGGCATGTCAATGCCTGATTTCTCAGCAGAATACATACCTATTTCTAGATGAAACAGACTATAAATAGTTGGTGAAAGTTTATGGCACTGTGAGAGGATATATCAAGTCAGTTTTGTACAAAAACATCCTTTCTCTGAAAACAATCATCTAACCTGTTTTTAAAAAACATCTCCCAGTAAAGGCACCAGAATTGCCTCAGAAAGAGTGTTCCAGGACTGGTGTCAAATTAAAAAGTTTTTTTTTTATTAACAATATATCTATTTTGTTGGGATAGAAAAAGACATGACTGTCTCTTCATGACATTTTAAGCAAAGAGAACTCCTTGTAGCCTTGTGTATAAACGCAACACAGCAGCTGGCATCTCATGCTATTATAAGCAAAAGTTTGAAGTTTTCTTCAAATACAAAAATCACAGGATGAAGTCAGATATTCTTTGCAAGCTTTAGCTGCTCATAGAAACTTAGACGACATCACAGCAGGGTGGGTGGATGGTTATACTTAAAATACATAACTGATTTTACTCTGAAATGAGAAGGAGCCCAGACACACCGACTGGTTATCTGGACAGCTGCTCTAACATTCCACAGCAGTGGGAAACCATTACATCATCTGGCACTTTAAATATCCTCCTCCTTATTTCATCCAGAGGCTAAAATGTGAATTTCTGCGATTTCTGCTAAAAGAGCCTGACACCTTCACTGTATGATGCATTTCTACAGAGGTGCCTTGGGACAAAACAGTAATGGATAGTTCAACTTGAAATCCCTAAAGAAGTAACTTTTATGTCCTTCCTCTGCATTGTTATGGCATCTCTCAAATTATGTATCAGTAATTAGTGTTAAGAAGAGTCTAACTGAATACTGTGATAAGGCATAGTGGAATAATATGATTCTTTTAACTGAAAGTAAATGAGTAATAGAAAAACTTCTTTTTTTCTCCTCTATTTTTGTCTTTTACATACATACTAAGAACAAGTGATGTTCTTAGTGATGCAGGATTTGGACTTCCAGCAGGTTACTTTTGAGAATGACTACTGATGAAAAATTCATTTGACCAAGGAGCTCACCTGCTTCTTTGCTTCTTAAAAAGAAAAAAAATGAATTATTTAAAAAAATAATTATTGATACCAATATAGAAGAGTCCAAACATTTAAAGCTAAGTTGAACTGGGATTTGAACTCTACTGATTATCCCACAGTAGATTAATATTAAAGAGTGCTCTATAACATCTATTCCTGATCATTATCCCCTTAGCTGTTCTTCCTCATGTGCTCCAGAGTTGCAGCTATGTTCTAAACAGACAGTGAAAATACCAATAAAGGGTCCAGATCACCAGACTTACTCCTCCATATGTTACTGAGCTAGGAGCGTTTTGTATACTTGAAGCTTTACTTCTAAGTATTGCTTCGGAGAAGTACTCTAAGTAACTATCTTTCATGTAAGAAACATGGCCATCTATATGCCAAGCTCATCTGTTTCTAAAATGCCTGTTTCTAAAATACTAGTATTAGTATTAAGTGTAGGAAACGGAGGCCTGCTTACTACTTGCAGAAAGACTGCAAAACATGTTAGTCATTTTTCTCAGAGTTACTTAGTATCACAGCCAAGAGCTACTGAGAAAAAAGACGACATATTTTTGGATAGCTACCTCCAAGGCCACATTGCTAATTACTGCTTCTAATTCACTGTACCATAAATATGAAGAAATCTTTCTAAAAAAGTCCAGTGATTTGCATAGAATGCTCCCCTGCACAGTTTTTAATGGGTTGCTAACCTTATATAATAATCTTCTATAAGGATCTGTGATTTTTCCTACTATTTCACCATCTTTCTCCTGCTACTTTGCTTTCCTTCATCTTCTAATAAAGAGTTATTAAACATAAATTACAGCAATACAGTACACAACTCTTTCTTCTAATTTTCTTATACACCATGAAAACATATAACTAGGGAAAGAAGACATTGTGCACTTTATTATTTTGCGAAAGTGAACATACCTTCACTTTAGAGTTTTCTATCAGATGCTGAGACATGGATTTTATCAGAACTTCAAAGAAAAACCATGAATACTGTGGAGAAAAAAAATATGTAAAATTCTCATGTGCATTCAACAGCTATTTCAGTATTGCTAGTGCATAGTTTTCAGTTCTGACTGTTTACAAACATATATGAAAAAGCATATTTCAATATATACCTTAAGCAGTTTGTTGCTTGTAAGAAAGTCAGCAGATGGCTTTAGAATTGTGGTCATGGACTTGGTCAATTCTTCATGTACAGTCTTATATTCAGAAGCAATATAAGGTTCAGCTTTATAAGCATACTTGGGGAGGAAAAATAGAACAGAATTTGAGATTATGACATAATATGAAATGACTGAAATTAAACTCAGTTTAAATGTACTGGTTTCAGATATTTTCTGTTTACTTCTGCCTACCTTGACATAAGACCTCAGGTAACTGTCCAAACCTTCCTCATGACACTGGGCCACAATATGGATAATAACTCTAAATAAGAATCAGAAATCAAACCCGGGTGAGAGTGCAGAAGAAGGGTATGATTGCTATAGCAAAAATGTTATTCAGTTGCAATCATCATTTCAATTCCACAAAGCACTTAAAATTCTTTACCTTGTCACATTGACTGCAACCTCCTCTTGAGTAGCTCTAGTGAGAACTCTGAACAACTGGTTGAGAACAGTTGGCAGGAAAGCTATCATTACGTGGCCCTCCATAGCATGAAGGCTCTGAAAGAAAGAAAGAAGGAGTAGTACTGTCAGTCCTTTGAAACAATGGCATTTAAATAGCCAGTTCTGAAACGAAGCTCTTTTCTGTACTAAAGAGGATGAGAGAAGCTGTGGGACATGGGAGATGATTTAGAACCTTTCTTCTGACCAAACGGGGACTGGAAATCAAGTCCAGTTCAGACATACACTATATTCAAAACTTAAGTTCTTACTTGAATGTCCTGAGTAGACAGTCTGTTTTTATGAACTGATCCTATGGAATCAATATATTCTGTTGTGGATATCTGGAGTTACTTGTACTACCTTATAGGGATTTTAAGGTGACTAAATATTGGCTTCCATAGCCAAGCACTCCAGTTGGGAGGGAAAACTGCAGACATGACAGTGATGATCTAAGCAAAATTTGTATGACTGATACTATAGCATGTCAGCAAGCAATACATTACCAGTCAACAGACAATATTCATCACACTACTGTGGGCAGTTTGATTTGTTCATTTGATACACTTGGCCATTAGTATACTGAAGTCATTGCCCATAGGCTGACTGATACTGTCTCATTATTTCCTCATGCTGTTCTACTTTTCTATTTCCACTGTAAATTATTCAGGGCAGGGAGAACCTTGTTCTTGCTATAGCTTATATTCCATAAAGGAGACCTAGACAACAGCTGAAGCTCCTGTGTCTTACAAAGATATAAATAAATAATTTGTTTTTAACTGCCATTTTATACCTTAAGATATTTTACAAGATCAGTTCCCAGTGCACGAGCTCCAGACTCTGTTTTCTGACAGTACTGAAAAAAATTATGCAAGTGCTGATCCTAGCAAAGACAAAAAGAATCAAAAATTAAACAATATGTAACATTTTTACCCATAATCTAAAACAAGACATATAATATAGGCCTGTACTTAGTGGTGTCCCCCAGGGGTCAGTTCTCGGTCCGGTCCTGTTCAACTTATTCATTAACGACCTGGATGAAGGGCTGGAGTGCTCCCTCAGCAAGTTTGCCGACGATACCAAACTGGGAGGAGTAGCTGATAGCCCTGAGGGCTGTGCTGCCATCCAGAGGGACCTGGACAGACTGGAGGACTGGGCGGCGAGAAACCTCATGAGGTTCAACAGGGGCAAGTGCAGGGTCCTGCACTTGGGGAGGAATAACCCTGGACACCAGTACRGATTAGGCGTGGACCTGCTGGAGAGCAGCCCCGCAGAGAGGGACCTGGGTGTCATGGTGGATGACAAGTTGACCATGAGGCAGCAGTGTGCCCTGGTGGCCAAGAAGGCCAACGGGATCCTGGGGTGCATTAAGAAGAGCGTCTCCAGCAGGTCGAGGGAAGTGATCATCCCCCTCTACTCAGCCCTGGTGAGGCCACATCTGGAGTACTGCGTCCAGTTCTGGGCTCCCCAGTACAAGAGGGATGTGGAGCTGCTGGAGAGAGTCCAGCGCAGGGCTACCAGGATGATCAGRGGCCTGGAACATCTGCCCTATGAGCAAAGGCTGAGGGAGCTGGGCCTGTTCAGCCTGGAGAAGAGAAGGCTGAGGGGGGACCTGATCAGTGTCTATAAATACCTCAAGGGAGGCAGTGAGGAGGAGGGGGGCGGCCTCTTTTCAGTGGTGGACAGCGATAGGACTAGAGGAAATGGCTTCAAACTGAAGCATCGGAAGTTCCACAGGAACTTAAGGAAGCATTTCTTCACTGTGAGGGTGACAAAGCACTGGAACAGGCTGCCCAGAGAGGTTGTGGAGTCTCCTTCTTTGGAGATCTTTAAAACCCGCTTGGATGCAGCCCTGTGCCCCGTGCTCTAGGTGACCCTGCGTGAGCAGGGGGGTTGGACTCGATGACCTCTGAGGTCCCTTCCAACCTTCGGCATTCTATGATTCTATGAAAAATGTGTATGTGTGTATATGGTCAATTTTTTAAAATAACTGTGCTGTTCTGAAGAATTTAGTCTAAAAGTAATGCTGATTGGGTTTTTTTGCCCATGTGAAAATCTCTCAGTAATTACGAAAATTCATTATACAGAAATTAGGTATATTCTTTCACAACAATTTACACATAGGAAATAAGCTACAAACATTAGCTATCCCCATTAATGATCAACTACAGCAGGACTCTGTTTTGTAGACTTGCCATTAAATTGTTTCAGACAACTATGATCTCTCATCTAACAAGAAGGAAGGTTTAGATTGGAACGCATTACAGCAGTAGACAGAAGGTTCCCATTTGGAGGAGCTTTAATGTTAGATCTGCTCCTTTTATTTTTGATATGAAAGATGTACACCATGCACAGTGCCCAAGAGATAATAAGACAGCAGCATATTAATGAGTGAGAGTTTGAGAATTTTCCCCCAATATTGTATATGCACGTTATAAATACAAATAATTCCTAAAGTTTATTCTAAATTTGTTTGTTTTGTAACTTACCTGAGTATACACTGTTGACACCAGATGAGTGGATATTTTTAACAGTTGTTTGCCTCCATCTACCCATTTGATTTCAGGACCAGAATGCTGCATGCGCACAAACATACAGGAAAAGCAAAATAATGTGGCTGAATATATGAATAAAATAGTGCTTTGCTTAGAGTACCAGAAACAATACATTTTGGTTTTTGGATTTCATTTGTTAAAAGACTGAGGAAACATGTGTAGTAAATAAAGAGTTCAGTACTACTAAAAATGTTCATGAAGCTTAAAAATGGCCAGTAAAACAACTAGTAATTCTACAGCTAATCATCTTAGCCTTACCCTCCCAACCACATGAATGAGCAGAGATTAATAACCATGATAAGAGCCTTAAACAACAATTATAGTTACAAAATGAAAAGATTAAAGATGTGATAGAAATGATGGATGAAAAGCTTTTAGCAGAGGTTGGATTTTTTTTTTTTTAATGGATCCAAACCAGAAGAGCAGCAAAATTCCAGTTGTTGATTTAGGCTTCTTTCTCCAAAATTAGTCCTTTTTTTTTTTTTTTTTTTCCCCTCCATATTTCTTCCTATTACTGAAATCTCCTATCACATTTTACGTTTTCTATCCTCCTTGACACCATTTTTATTAATATATTTTTTCCAAACGTTGTGCTTTGAAAAATAAAGTGATTAATTTTACTATCTATAAGTGAAGCATAAAGAGTACAGAAATAATAAAATGATGACAATTTTTAAGGAACACAGGATGCACAGAAAGAAAACAATCATAAAGTGCTAAAAAATGTCCAGTATAGGATCAGATCATTTGCATACCTTCTTAAACTGGAAGTGCTGAATATATTTTAAAATATATTTTAAAATATATTTTAAAATTTGGTTGTAACAACTAGTTAGTGATTTTCACAAAAATATGCAACAAGAACACTTCTTTAGCATCTCAGGTACATAATAACAGAAACAACTGCTTAACAGTTTAAATGAAAAGTGGTATTAGGGCAGTCGATTCAAATTGTTGTATATGTTGGAGTTCAGTTAGAAGTCTGGTCTCTAATTTCTGTTTGTCTTCTCTAAATGAGTTGCCTAACTTCTGTAAAGCATTCAATTTCAATTATGTAAGACATTTTTTCCACTAGAAAAGCAGTGAATTAGAATGAATTTTTGTCAGAACTGGGGGTTTACAACTGTCCCTCCCTTTTTTTTTTTTTTTTTTTTTTTAATTAGATCAATTTTATGTAACATACCTTTCCAGTCCCCACTTCTTGATAACTAAGGTAGCCTGATGGAAGATTAGCTGACACTGGAATGTGTTGCTCATTTGTCACCACTCTTCCATCCTTTATTAGTGGAAGCCAAGAAAAGCCAACTATGAAACATGAGAAAAAAGTCATTTTATGTATATTAATGACTCTTTATATAAACTCATATGAAAATCTTCTTGGACAATTTGGATAATTCACAGAACAGGAAGAGCTACTATGAGGGCCAAACACAAATTTGAATACGCACAATCACAAATGTCTAAAAAGGCAAATAAATTGTCTAGGAAAGTTCAGAAGCATTTTTGGATCAGTTCAACAGGATCCCAAGTTACCAGACAAACCTCCCCACCAGTTCCTGCAAGCAAAGCGGGAGGAGACAAACCTTGTGTTTCAACAACATCTTTCTTCTTTGTACTCCCTTTGCTTGAATTATCACAGCTGACATGGTAGAAGGTGAACAACAAATGATGTTTTTCATGTAACTGAGTTGGCAATTCTATTTTAATCTGAAAGGCAAAAAATCCTGGTCTTTGTCTTCAGTTAGAATGATGACATCGCATACTAGATATTTCTTAAATTGGTCTATATCACTTTTTAGCAGAAGCAAAATTCAAGAATAATTCATAAAAAGTTAACAAGGGTATATTGACAGTCAAAAAAGGTCAAGTCACTCAAATAATCATCAACAACTTGAATCTTCAAAACTTTTCTGGCATTTTTGACACTTAGAAAATACAGAATACAGTGAAATTGAACTTATAAAGGTAGCTTACCTCATCATAAAATTCTGGATTTTGGTGGTGATGCAAAACAGCAGCAAATGCACTTCTAGTAAATATTGGTCCACCTGGTCTACCATAGATGCACTAATAACAGGAAAACAGAAAAACAAAGACTATGACCTTTATTCATTTCCACCTTAGAACCTGCTTCACCCAAATTTTTTACCTTTTAACTTGTGTAACATGTTTAAATATGAATATTCATAAACATAACAATGCAATTTTTGTAGATCAAAGACTTTCAAAAATATCACAGATTTATCATGGATATAAACAGTGACTAAAAACTAAAAATGCTGAGTAAATTGCTCATCTCCTTTCAAATGTGATATTTATATAAGCACATTGTATTAAAAAGCAAATTAACTACAGAGATGCTGCCAAGATGAAGAATTAGCACATCCACAGTTTGATTGAAAAACTGACAGCTCCTTTGAGAAATATAACCTCTTCTCTACCTGAATGCCTAGTCCAGAAAACTGACTAGAAGCCATCTGTGTTGCCCTTAGACTCTAGATATTACTAGAATAAGGCAGTCTTGCTTTTAATTTCCAATATGCTAAAAGCAATCCGCCCCACCAAAAAAAAAAAAAAAAACAACAAAAAAAAACCCACCCAAAACAAACCATTAAAACAAATCAAAACTTGAATTAAGAATGACACTAGAATCAAAATCTGGTTCTTTTGTATAGGCTGAAGATTACATGACCACTAGACTGCTTGTTCTTATGCAAAGTCAACACTGATTTTCCTTCAGGATTCCTATTTTTTTTCCAATTTCAGGCAATTTCACTTCTTTTTCTTTATGATAGATTAGGAACAAATATAGAGCTAGGCTCTGCAGCTGATCTAAAGCTTTATTGTTTTAATTTCTTAAGAATTCCTCCTATGGAGTAGGCATAAGCCACCTTTTGTTTGCAAGAAGCTTATTCTTGAAATTTTTGTTCATGAAAAGGAAGGAATTACTCTGAGGGCTCTTTATTAATCTTTTCTTCTGAGAACAAGCAATTCATTTAAAAAACACTCCTACATCAAATACAAAGGAATAATAGACATCTGCTATCATAAACCAGACAAATTAAGGATCAGCATGCAATTTAGCGAATTGTTCACTATTTCCTTTAACCAGCCACTAACCTTTAAAGGTAGAGAATCCTCTTCATCAGAATCCTTGAACTCAATGCATACTGCAATATTTCTAGCCTAAAGTGGTTTTTAAAAAACAAAAACCCAAATACTCAATTAGAATGACTATCAAAGAAATAGAATATGTAACCAATCTCAAGTAAATTGGCGAGAGAAGAACGTACTCTTTTCCTATACTCACCTTTGCAAAGGACTTCTGACTGTCATATTTCAAGTACTTTGGATAAACATAAAGATGATTGTTGTAGATGGTGAAAGGCTGAGTATGTTTTGGTATACAGGGAACAAATTCCTCTATTTCAAACGTTATTAGTGTCTTGGTACTGTTTTCAAATTGTTTCATGGGAATGTATGATGAGTTAACATAATCTGAAAATATATTAAAAATCAATAAAAAACTGAAGAGAAAAAGCTTGTATGTCTATTTAACACTGTTTATTCATACTTACTTGGAAAATCTGGTGACACGTTATCAATCGTAACATCCAGATTTCCTAAAATAACAGGAAGCTTGGCCATCTTTTCAGGTCTATAGGAAGGAAAGAAAAAAAAAGAAAAAAACCCACAAATGTCAATGCAGATCTACCTATCAGAAATGCTAGAGAAAAGAGATAATAGGAAACAGAACCAAAAGTAATATCCTGAAAAATGATTGTGTGAAGAAAGGTGGTTTGAGAATGGAAAACTGATCTGGACCTTTTTTTTTTTAAATAAAATTCAGAGCTCTCTTTTAAAATCCAACAAAAATAGAACAAGGTAAGGCTTTATTCACAAATGTGAATAAAGATAAGGAAATGCATGTTTTTTATTTCTTTAACTCAAAATGAAAAACTTCACTAAAGGTAAGTTATGTTTATCTTATAGTAACTCAAGACCTTTTGCAGCATGGAGATAATTAAGATTTTTACATCTCACATGCCTGTATTGGTGTAAACTTGAGCGAGAGGCTAGTAGGGAAATAGAAATCATTAAGTTAATAAAACACGCCTTCCACACAAAGTAGCCTTTTTCCTACCTCTTCCTTTTTCCAAAACAACGACCTACCCAGCAATTATCTACTACTAACCAGACAGCTATGAAATTTTATGTAGCTGATTGAGAAATACATTTTAAAGAAGTATCTTTCATATTAAAACACCAGTGGAGAAAACTTTACTAGTAAATACAGTCAACAGCTGCTTTTGCTTTTTTCTTTAATTATTGCACAAGCAGCAGCTGCAAAGTTTTCCAAAACCACCATCCTTGTGCTCCAAACCAAACAACTGGCTTCTGGTTCAATTCTGGATTATAAATCTTAGCCTTAGACATTACAATACATTTCTTATTAAAAATTTCTGTAAAATACTGTATTCAACTACACAAAAGGATTCCCTTAATTCATAAAGTAAAGCAATAAGGCAGGCTCATTTACTGTTTTAGTTTCAAAAATATAGTCTATGACAAGAAATATGAGTACATAGCATTTTCATTGCTATGTATGAAGATCAATGAATCTTTAAGCTGTGCGCTGAAACAGAATTAAATGATGTAAGTCTCATCCCCTCATCAAATTTGGTGAGCAAGAAAAAAAATAAAGTTCTTACACAAAGTCTTATGAAATTTTCAATCAGCAATTGTTAAAATTAACAGAAATCCAAGTAACTGTGATATATCAGAACTGCAAATGCTTAAGGAGCAAATATAGCTCTAATATAGCATACTCTATTTATAAGAAAGGGGATTAAACTCTGAAATATTGTAGTTTATTTGATATGGTCATCTGTCAGCCAGAGATTATTAAGACTTGCAGCCAAAATGATGTAGTCTTTAGGAATCCTTTATACAAAAGGATGACTGAAGTCCTGTTGTTTAGCTTTCCTTAGCCACATTCACCACCAATGAAGCTGGATACTGCCAAAAATACTTGAATATCTTTCTGTGAGAGCTGGCATAAATATATTACTCATGATCATAGTATTTTTCCTTTAAGAACACAAACACCATACACATTAAACTGCCAACATAACTAACAAATGAGGAAATTAAACTTACTTTCTGAAATCTGCTAACAACTTCAGCATGTCTTCATTTGAAAGTTTATTACTGTCTTGTCTGAAGAGAGGAGAAAATCTTGCATTTTTGTCTAGTGTTCCTGAGGCATCTTTAAACAGTGTCCTGAAAGAAAAAATCTTGATTTCGACTGAGTTCATGTAAGATTTAGAATGTATGCAATATTGCTTTCACTGTAGACAAGTTCTGGCAAGTTCAGTCTAACAAATAAAATGTCAAATAAAAATGAAAATTCTTAATAAAAATTAATAAAAAATAGGCAATATTCAAGTTATTTGAATAATAACATAATGTATATGATTGCTTATAATTATTTCTCCCACTACAGAACTGAGGCTTAAATCTCGCTTCCCTGAAATCTACGGTTAATTTAAAACAAAACAATAAATACTCAAAATAGCATATTAAGTTTTAAAAGAGGCTAGCTATAGAAGATTGTGTTAAAAAGAACAGTTATGAAAAAACAGACCTTGACAAGGTCCTTCCTTACCTAGCTGCCCAGGCAAAAGGCATTCTGTATTGTCCTAATCTCTGGCATGCCTGCTTAGCGTTCTTCAAAACCTTCTGTGCAACCTGCATGGGACACAATAGTAGCCAATTTTTAAAAGGTACTTGGTACTTTTTTTTTTTTATGGTGTAAAAAATCCTTCCACACATATACACTCACAAGAATTATAAAATGATCTTTACAAGACAAAGATACTAACACTATGACTGAAAGATGAATGAAAACCTCTCTCAACTATACATTTCTGGTTAATCTGCGTCTACTGATTTCACAACTTTTCATGGGTGAAAGTATGAACTCATCTACACCTTCTGATAATATGTGCCTAACTATGTAAGGAAAAATGATGATGAACAAGTCCCTTGATTTCTGCCTTTTTTCATTTGTAATTATTCAACAACTGACAACTGTAAGAATATAAAAAAGGAGATGGAATAAAGAGAACAAATTACAAAAGTAATTGGCTCTGATATGAAATCACTAAATGTATCCATTTACACTAGATAAATATTCACGACAAAGCTGATTTTATAATATATAAAAACTATATTAAATATTTGACTTAAGAAAACTAATATTTTACTTCTTAGTGGCAGATTTAATTCTTTTATTCAAAGGAACTAAAAAGAGAAGCCTTTTTAAAGATATGTAAAAAACACACAATAGGTAGGAGACAGGATTCAATTGCTTTTTTGAGACAGAATTTAAGATTGAAGACAAAAATATTTTTTTCCCCCACTCACTTCCCTACTCACTGCCATTCTAGGTACTGCAATACGTTCCATGCAGTAAATACTAAAATATTATATAAATATTTGTATTATGAGGAGCTACAGAATGTGGCTACTGTATTAAGATCTCATAGACTGTCTTAATTATAATACTTTACAACTCTCCAATACTCATTTGTATTAAAGTCTTTAATTTTTGCTTTTATTAACTCCTGAGTGAGCAAATACGCCTTTTACATAGAAGCAACATACATAACAATGAAAGAAGAAATCTACCAGTCTAAGCTGGTCACAGAATGATTGAGGTTGGAGGGAACCTCTAGAGATGATCTAGTCCAGCTCCCCTGCTCAAGCAGGGACACCCAGAGCACGGGGCACAGGGGGGCATCCAGGAGGGCTGGGAGGACCTCTGGAGAAGGAGACTCCACAGCCTCCCTGGGCAGCCTGTGCCAGGACTCTGGCACCCTCACAGGAAAGAAGTTTTCCTCATGTGGAGATGGAACGCCCTGTGCTTCAATTTGTACCCATTATCCCTTGTCCTATCACTGGCCACCACTAAGAAGAATTTGACCTCTTCCTCCATACATTCTCTCCTGAGGTATTTGTAGATAAAGATCACATTTCCTCTTGGTCTTCTCCAGGCTAAACAGGCCCAGCTCGCTTAGTCTTTCCTCATACAAGAGATGTCCCGGTCCCTTAATCATCTTCGTTGCCCTCCGCTGGACCCTCTCCAAAAGCTCCACATCCCTCTGATACTGGGGAGTCCAGAACTGCCCCAATACTCCAGGTGCGGCCTCACCAGAGCTGAGGAGAGGGGCAGGATCCCCTCCCTCCACCTGCGGGCAGGTTGACCTGAACCACTAGAGCTCCAGCAGAAGCTCCTGACAGAGCAGGTGGTGCCCCATTCCATAAACAACAGCTGCCTGAACGCTTACTCCYGATGCTTATAGTATTATTATTATTTACTCCATAAATAGCAGCCCCATAAATGGAGCAAGGCTGCCTGAACATTATGCCCGATCTATACTGCTGACATTATGAAGAGCTGACACTTGAACCACTTCTCAGTTACCCTCCCTGCAAAGCAGGAAACACTGAGACATGAAACCTTGATGAATGATCACGGCTAATTCACCAGAGTGAGCAACGTTCAAGGGAAGAACAAGTGATTTTTTGGCCGCAGAATTTGCTGCAGTTGTAGCAATCCTGCTGTGAAGTGCAATGTGCTCATTGGGTTGACACTCTGGGAGGACTCCAGAGCCAGATTTGTTCTGCCTTTATTTCAAATAAATTCAGTGTAACCCCAAAGAACAGGAATAGAAAAAATAATTCAATGCTTATTGTGTTATTAATTGTACCAGGCTATAAGCAAATTAAAACCAGAAGTGGACAGCACAAGCAGATATGACAACAAATGTTCCTAGCGGCAATTTCAGTAATACAAGGCAACATATTCTAGTACTCAGCATCAAATTATGGAAGACTAGGATACAACTAACCTTCCCATACGGGTCAGGCCCAAGATGATCAAAAATAAGGTACTCTCTTTTTTTCCCCTCATTCAGTAACTATCAGCAAATTCTTCCCAAACAGACTCTTAAAACACAAATCTGACGATTTCTAATGATAGTTGCAAAAATCTCAAGCATATCTGGAAAAACTGGCTTGATATACATTAAGACTGATGGAAAAGTACTTTTTCTGCATTCACATTTACCACTTTTCTATCAGCAGAAAAGAACACTGTTCCCCCTGAAGAGAGCGTATAAAAAACTTTTGATTGATATTCATTCTTTTAAAATCAACTTATCTTGTCTCAGTATTTTTTCCAACACCACAAAAAAAGTGACGTACCTTGGAAGAATCTGAACTTTTCATATATGGTTCAGCACAATGGGTAATACTTCCTTGTAATACTTTTTCTATTCTAGCCACAAGGAAAATGTCAGGATGGGGACAGGTGACTGAAAATATTCCCTAAATATAAAACAAGAGAAAAATATAAAGGGAGAAAAACACACTTTTTTACTTCACATAATGTAAAGTCATTTGAAACATGTAAGAAAACTGCTTCTATTCAAAATCCAAGTCAAACAGTACCACTTCTTACCTGTCTTGGATACTGCAGTACTGTTTCATAAATCCCTTGAATTCTGTGCAAGCTGTCACCACTACCATTCATCATTTGTTGGGAAGCATTGGATATCATGTGTCTCACTGAGATGTGGTTCAAATCAACATGGAAATCTGCTGAAATCTTCCGGTTATTTTTAATATCAAATAATGATAATGTGACAAAGAATGGTTCTACCTAGACATTTTAAGAAAAGTGAAATGTTATTGCCATCTATATTACCATAAAGTTATAGGTATGAAAAGAAAATGAGCATCATATTTAATAAATAATTACAGAAGGCCATCATTGTGGTCATTATAGACAAGGTATGAAAGCCTTAAAGAAGAATTTTAACTTCTACAATTTGACAGAAAGGTTGCTTGCAAAAATACTTCTCTTAGAATTGAGTCTTTCATTTTGATTTAAAGAAAAAAATAATCACAGAATAAAATCCTCAAACACAGCAAGGAGTTTCTGCAATTAAATATAATGACAATGTTGATATACAGAAATTTATTACTACAGTAACAGTAATTAGACAAGTTATTTACATTTGTAGTTGGTCCCTCTTCATTTTCAGCAACGCAGCTTTGCAAATTGAAGGATAAATCATTACACTTCACAAGAATTTTTTTTCCAAATTTCTCTTCAAATGGCTTCACTTCTGGTTCAATACCAGAAAAGTCAAGTTTCTTCAATTGGGGAAAAGGAAGAAAAAAAAAAAAAACTTAAGTTGATTAAGTTGTTCATCTCACAGGGATCAAAACATCAAAATAAAAACAATACACTTTCTCATAAAACATCTAACCTGTGCATCCGGATCCAAGGCAAATAGTTTAACTCTGCTTTCACTTTTGAACTTGATTTCTGCTTCTCTGGCGCTCTGTTCAATGGAAGGGAAAAAAAAAAATCATAATAGGTGACTATTAATTGGGAGTGGGTTTCAATTTAGTTTCCTTTTCTGTGGTGTTCAAAGCTGTAAACACTTTTAATTCATGTCCTCTTTTCTGCTGAGTTTTGCAACTCTTAAACTACAGTTTAAGTTGCCCATGAGAAGGCTCCTCTCCTCTAACAGCTCTTTCAAGACCCAAAACACAAAAACATCAGCAAGAGGGAACTTTCAGGGCACGTGCAAGGCACACTGCAGTGCAGCCTCTTGCAGCACTTTGTCTCTTTAAATGACAAATAACTTTCACAGAATCATTTCACATTAACAAACAAGAAGTATGAATGTAGGTTAAAGCTCAAAGTGATACTGTGAGCAGAAGATTGTTCAGGAAGCAGGAGGTTATCTAAATTAAGAAACACCATCCGAGCAAATTTTCTTGAGTTCTGCTGGGAAAGAAGTGGTTTTCCTGTGGGTAGGATGGGAGAGAAAAAAAGAAGAAGAAAATAAAAGAAAAACACCGCCCAAAACAGCAAAACCTCACAACTCCAAAGCCACTGTATAGAGCTAGGTGGTAGCTACCAATCCTGCCTGGGATTTCTGGATACCTGCTTACTGGTAAAATAAAAGTGGAACAAAATAGAATATGTAAAGTGATGGTATACATAGGTTACTCTTCCATAAAAAGAGATTATTTAAAGAATATTCTATGTTTTTGAAGTCCCAAGATGTATGGGATGAGCCAAAAGCAGATGTATGTATGAGCCAAAATTAGCAGTGTAGTAGAGCTAAATTTCCTAAAGCGTAGCTGGCTAAACAGGGATACAAAGTATTACATTACAGACAAGCATTTTTTCTAGATCCTGAACCTACTTTTAATCTATATTGGTTAAAATAAATTGCCAACCCAGAATGTTCCTTACTGACCATCAGCTGGAAGTGATCTCCTGCCCACATTTGCTTTGCTGCAGTTTGGAGAAACTCCTACTATGCCTCAAACAAAACAGAAATCATACCAGCTCTATTCACCAACCTAAAAGAAGGGTTGAACAATCATAAGAAAAATCTTAAATTACTGGCAGATGAATTAACTTGTTTTCAGCTGACAAATGTTATTGTTATCATCCACCACTTCTGCTGATGAGCATTTTGTAAAAGCACTCCATTAAGTCTGATTTTTCTTACAATTGTTTCCATTAAAACTTCTACAGATCCATCAGATCTGTATTTTATCTCACAATTTCCCCTGGCTGTTGGATTTCATTTCTATTGCAAGAAAAACATGAATAATCTATATATGCTTAATTTACAATACAGTAGATCCTAAAAAAAACACCGTAGGTGCTATATGAACAGAAAATTTGTAGTCCTTCTCAGTATGAGCTTGTGATGTTTTTAAAGAAAGGCATCATAGTAGCTCAGTGGGTTAATCAGTCTTCAGTGGTGATGAGGCCAGTGAAAATTATAACATCTTTATTGTTGCTGCACATTTGAAGAGCCACGGTCACAACATATGATGTGTCTAGAAGATGCTAATGAGAGTGTTCCAGGTGTGCGAGAGAAGGTGAACTGCTGGGGCATGCCGGGGAGGACAGATGCTTTAATGGATTTCGTTTCCCATTCTCTTCAACACACACATGAAAAATAGCAAGTTATTGTGAAAGAAATGAGCAAGACTTCCAGTATCAGCAGGGCAATGGTAGATATTGCTTATTCAGCATCTGGTATGACTGGGAAGCATCTGGCATGTAAGTTTTGGGAAGGGAAAAGAATAAAGAGGAAGATGGCCCAAGCCATAGCAACAGCCAGAGTTTGCTTCAGCAAATCCATATTGACAGGTTTTTTGGTCTTTCATTTTATGCACTTAAGATGATTTTGACTGGCAGGCCCAGTCAAAAGTCAAGAAGTGAAATATCTATGCAGCCATTGACATTACTTAAGGCACGGGAAGGTCTCTGCAATACAATTTTCTCATCTATAAATGGAGAAAACACTTTCCTGCCTCAAGAAACACCGGGGCAGTTATGGTTAAGTAGGTGGTGGATACACAGGTCATGATAATCATATAGTTATTTAAAAAAGGCATATATGGTTATTTAAAGCAGACATCTCATTTTCAAATATTACCATATTTGAATATATTTGCTAAAAAAAAAAAAAAAAAAGAAAAGCTAAGTGAAATGCACAATACTATCTTATTCAGCAATATTATAAATTAACAGTTGGTGACAGGAAACAGAGCTTGGAAATGCACTCACAAGGGTCAGCCTTTCCTAGGAAGACTGGGGCTATTTTTTTTCCTCCTGCCAGGTGTTCTAAAATCACCCCTGAAGGAATTTCTCATTCCTCATAGGGATATGAGGTCAGCTATTGTGAAAATACTCCTCTTAGAACCAGCAAAACAACTGAACGACTATAAATTAATCTAAAGGAAGGTTCAGTAGTGCATAGGTCTTCCTACGCACTGGGGAGAAAAAAAAAAAAAAAGGAATTAGTAAAATAAACAAGTTAAAGCACAAACAGTGCAGTAACACAAAAGGATAAATTTTTCCCCTGCATTTCTTCTCAAGGCAAAAAGGCTGGAAAACTACATTACAGCAAATTGTTTTCAAAGTTTGTATTTAGTAAAATGAAAAAAGTGAAAAGCTTAGTTTGAGGGAAACAAAAATAATTTAAATGAGATCCATGGAATAAAAAAAGTTAGTGCTTAAAGAGATGAGAAAAACATCCTAGCAATCATGCTAGAAAAACATCCAGCCTGAAGAGCTGAGATGACTCTCATCAAAAGGTCATGGAAACAGGAAACAGCATTTGTAGTGCTAACATCACACCCAGGTGCTACAGCTCTGAACAAAGTGGCCTCCAGAAGCCATATGGGACCTACACATTCCATTCTAATAGCTCTGACTCTAAAGACAGAAAAAGTATTTCATACAACAGAAGCATCTAAATTTATGTTTGTGTTTAAAATAGTTTTTCACAGTGTAATATAGCTGTTTCGTTCGATTCCCACAGCTCTTCAACAAAAACCTGACTGTCCCAGCCTGTCAATCTATTCTGATGGAATCGTTTGATGTTTTAGCTACAGTGGCAGATGGTATCTGTTTCATTGTTTAYTCTCAGCTTATAAATTGCATTCCTTCAGAAATAGTGACTAGGTCAGACAGACCATCTGAGAGGAAGAGGAGAGTWTTTCTGAACCTGTTCACTGAGAGAAATTACAAGCCTGCAACCTGTGGCCCACAGAAGAAATAGCAAGGAAGTCACAGTGAGCAGTGGGCATCCTGCAACTTSAACAGAGATAGGCAACCATCCCCAGCCCTTATGCCATTAAACCTAAATTTCCTGGCTTCACACAGAGCCTTACAGACGTTGCTGCAACACAGCAGTCACCATCCAAATGAAACCAAGCATGCAGGAGGGCAGGGGAAGCTTCTGTTATAAAACCTTTTCACTTCTATTCTGTCTTATGTACCGAGTAGGAGTTTTCACTGCGTAACAGTTTAAATAATATAGTTCACACTCTAATAGAATCCAAGTAGTGAAGTCTTTTTGATGTTCTTTGGGGCCTCACACCAAGGGAAAGGGAAAGGGAAGTACTGAGTTCCATCCCACAGGCCCAGCCAACSCAGGATTCTACCACAGTTCTCCAAGAACAAAATTAAAAACTAAGAATTATCTAATACAGGAAACACCCTTGAATTTCCCATCTAGTTAGAAATAAAACACATTAGGAAGAGGATCTCACATTTATATTACTGCTATTAGGTTTCTATGTACTTCTAATTGTAAAACTAAAACTTGGTTTTAGTATAACCAGATTTATACAGGAATACTTTAACGCTTATGTCCGCAATATAACAAAAAAAGCATGTAARGCTTTTTATATAAACCTTCAAGTGAGAAGCTAGTTTGCTTCTAAAAGCAGAAGAATAAGTGGAAGCTCAATAGTAACCTCTATTGCCTGAGGAGACTGCTTAGCCTTTGGAGAGTACTCTARTAGGAGACTACTTAGCCTTTTTTACTTAGCCTTTGGTGGCTAAGTAAAATATCCATATCCTGGGTCCACATCTGCAATAACTTACCTTTGCACTTTCAGGATAGTAGTTATCAAAACTACATGAGGAGCTTTCCATTCTGCTTTGCTCATCATCTGCAATTAGAAAACCATGTTAAAAGTAAAACAACAACTCTGAGAGTTCCGTAGCAAAGTTATTTCTGACTCCTATGTTCACAATTCTTCCCCTCTTCAAATGCAACAAATGTTAACATAAGCAGATTGTGGATTACTGCAGCATTTTGTTCCGATGTAGTGACTTCCTGCAGGATATCACCAACTACTGTAGTAACAGAAATTGCTAAGGTAGAAGTTATTTGCAATCTTCCCTAAATAACTAGCTACCAGCTTTAATACTAATTTTGATATGCACGTGAGGAAAAGAGACACTCAGTACACAAATTTATTTATTTCAGTAGGTGTTGTAATTTGATTTTAAAAAAAAGTGCCTTCCCTCTGCTCATTCAGGTACCCAAGTCTACTGTTCAATGATTCGGAGTTGTTGTCAAAGCAACAGTTCAGCTGCCTCTAAGCAGCATGGTTTTCCAAAGTCAATTTATGACCATTGACTAAAATGTCTTTTATAAAGCTGCAGGTTTCTCTATTTCTGATTTGCTTTTGTTGAAAATACATCCTGTTCAGTACCACCTTCACATAAGATGGTGATACCTTCTCTGAAATTCTCATTATTCCTTTTGCTGTATCATGCTATTTATAAGGAGCCTCTTCCATCTTCTTTCGGATATGCATGCACTTAGTCTGGGGACAAAGTTGTGCATTTTTCTTTTTGAGGGTGCACTAATGAAGGAAGKGGGTACCACACTATCAAATAAACCTGCATGTCATTCGTTAGAGATGTCTGCCTCACCTATTCTTAACCAGCCCTAACAGAGACACTTAATATCCTGAAGTGCAGAAACAGTATGTGTGCTCAAGGGATTTATATCTAAAGTAAACTCCCTCACAACAAGCACAACCTCTTCTGCTGTCTAGAGTGGACACAGGATACTTTACTTCCATTCTGGAAGCATTTTATTTATTATAAAACAAAACCCTTCCCAGTCTTCTGTTTTCCTTAAACTACCTGACTCCTCCCGATTTTTCTGGGTAGGTTCCATTTTCTAGACTATCATTCCTCTCTTCCACTCTCCACTCAGCTGGAAAGAACACAGATCAGTGCCCTGTGGACATCTGTTCTGAAAGCAAAGCAGCTTACAGCACTGAATGGATGCCAGTAAAGACCTCAGTAGCTAGTTTAACTTCTTTATTCTTAATGAAACTGATACATATTACACGAGTGCAGATGCCCTGCTAATGCCCACATGAGACAGTTCCCATCAATCCAACAGACAGTGAAAAGATGTCTAATTTTTGCTACCAAAAATAAAAAGTGATAAACATAGCCCAGAGAAAGCCTTTCCTTGTAGCTGCATGTACACAGCCATCATCACATAAATGCATCACCATTTATCGCTCATTACTGCAAATTCTGCTTACCCTCATGAGATTCTCCATTTCGTTTTTCTTGCATTGCAGCCTCAAAGTTAAGCTGGAGGATTTTGTTCAGTGTGTTTATCCACTCTTCCATTTCCAGTTCACTGTCTGCAGCTAAAAGGTAACTACTTTTGTCTTGCATCTTCAGCTCAAATGCAAAACGTCTGACTTTATTGTTCTACAAATAAAATAAAAGACCTTTTTATGACATCTTCTCTTTATATCCTGTCTTCCCATAAACTGAAATAATCTCATATCTCTTAACAAAAATATACAGTTCAATACATTGAATTAAAATATTAAGACTGAATTAAAGTATTAAAATAGTAAATCTTAAGAAAAATAACCCTTAAGTTTCACAATTTCAGTCTTAAGAACAATTTTAATTTAAATTTCCACAGGTTAAATCTTGACATAAGTGAGGCAGATCACACTCCTATTTATTTTCAAAAATCACTGAATTAAACATATCTATGTATTTAAATTACCTTGCTAAATACATACATTGCGTATATTACATGACTGCATTTTATACCTGAATGACTTAGCTTAATAGAAGTGCACATTCAGTGATTTTTGGTTTTGCTCCAAACTGTGATTCAGAACTGATCTCAAATTTCTAGACACATTTCTGAAAAGCCAGAGTGCCGAGATTAACTGGCTGCTGATAATGCAGAACACATTATAGTTTTTAAAGATATAAGTCTTAAACAATAAACTTGTAAGGGTCTAAAGTACTTTTTTGCCTAGAAACTACTGTATGGACCTAACATTTCACCTACAATAGAAAAAAACAGTAACTTAGGGATCTGGGCAGAAAGTGACAAAGTTTCAGAGTATTATATTCCAAGTATTCCAACAAAACGTATTCCAGAGCACTCACAGGAAGTACTTATGTAGAAACAAAGGCTTTCTAGCATTACAATATAGTTTAAAACCAACAAACAAAAAACCTCATGATGTTAAAGGCTTCAAAGAATAAGAAAAGAAAATTACTACAGGACACATTTTTGCTTTTTGGTTTCTTTTTCCAAGAATGAACTTTACTACATTATATTTTCACAAACTCAGAGAAAAAAAAAACCAATCCAAAAAGTGCCTAAGTGTGTGCTAACATCACCGAGTCCCAAGAAACGAAATATTTTAGTGTAGGCAGAAATCTGAAGAATTTCTCTAAAATTCTCCACAGTGAGAAAAGTCAAATGTTAAAGAAAACTGCGTGTGGTTATTAAATCTCATTATCCGCATATATACTGGATTCACACATTCACTGCACTGAATTCAAAGCTGTGTGTGCCCAGTAGATCAAATGTGCATTTCTTTCATCTGTGACTTGTAAAAACATTGGTGTTTTCTGACAATGCAACCTATAAAATATTGCATTGCCCTCAGTAGCCTGTAAAACAGCTGCAGGCTGAGAAAAACAAGACCCAGAAGGGGAAGAATTTTTGCTATTAGAGAAGGATGCCACAGCAGAGGAAGTTGTACAAGAAGAGCACAGAAAAGATACGTTGTAAGAAGCACAAGACAAAACATACCACGGCATCTAGGGAATAACTTTCTTAAAAAAGGGAAAACAATTTGTGTAAATCTGCACAGACAATTTGTAGGGTGAAAAAGTATACTAAAATTATAACACTTTTCATTAAAAAAATCTAATAATATGTATCCAAAAATGTTCTTACTTTTTTTTGAAAATAGAATCCTTTATAAAGCTGTTGTATCCCTTTGCATAAACCTTCACCAACAAAATTTATACTCAAAATAAATTTTTTAAAATGTACTTCTATTCAACTTTGCCTATTACTATCAAAGTTAACAAAGCCTTAAAATCAGGATTTTTTCTCCCAGGTAGGCTGTGCCTAACAAAACAGTTACATGATGTACTGTAAATATCTAACAGAATCACATGAAAGCAATTCTTTTCTTTGGCACTTTCTGCTGACAAATATTTTGCCAAAAGATTTTAACTTTCTAAAATAAAGGAAAGAACATAGAAGTAATATTAGAAAGGTCAAATGAACGCATCTGGAAGTAACTGAATTTAATACAATTCCCACAACAAAAATCCCACACAGGAAGCTATGCAAAATATTTTACAGCCCATGTAAGTACAAAATGTAACAGAACTTCAATTTTATGCTGTCATTTTGTAATGATTTAAGTTGTGGTTTTGGGGTGTTTGCTTTCAAATTTTGTTTGATTCATTTGATAAATATTAAGCATCAACAAGTGATTTTTTTGCCCATTTTTAGAAAATTTTTCACATTCAATTTCTTTTCCAGTAAAACCTGTTTCATCGCCTTTGTAACACGTGACATCTGTAGTTCATGTGCCTCATGTGCATAACAGATGCTTGTCTGTGTCCCACAAAAGTTATCTGAATTTTGGGGAAAAAAAAAGTACTTGCTATCAAATACAGAACTGAATTATAATTACCTGAACCACTCCCATGCATGAATCTAAAAATATAGATCCTTTAGGTTCTTTYGATATTTTTTCATCTTTGTAGAAATTGAGATTATAGGATCCATCACCAAGCTGGATTAAGTGGAAAAACCTTCTCTTAAATGACTAGAATAAAAATAAATAAAGTTAAGACACCAGCATTGATCAGCTTCATCTTACAAAACTTGTAAGTATTATTAACACACAAAGCTTACAGAGAAAGAAAACTTCTACTTGAACATAATCCAATAAATTGAAAATGCAAATRCAGTCACTATTATTACAATTTTTTAAATGGAAATACCTTATTACACTGCAAGATTAGTTGAAAATATTTTTCACTCATTAAATATCTTTAAAGTGACCTCTATAACATGATAGATAAAACAGGTGTTTATTGTGAAAAACACAATTACAAATAGCTTTCTAAATAAGAAGGTAACACAAATAAAACYCATATTAGTAGAAAAGAGATCATCTTGTGACACACCAGAGCCCATTTGGGACAACGATTTAGAACATTGACTTCTTACACATACTGGATATTWAACACATTTTTTCTAATTTAAGTAGAGTAAAAGGAAAGAAAGACTTCACTAGCACAAATTCCAAACAGGCATCCTTCTTTCAGGCCATGCTGTTTTTGTTAAAAGCAAAGCACGTGCACATTGCCTTCTCCAAGGCASAGTGATAATTTACTAGTAGAGGTCATTTCTTATTTTCCATGGGGCATTACCAGCCTTACCCGCATTGTCACACTGATTGCACTGTTCATGTTGCCTTTGTAGAGCCATCCTTGCTTTGTTATCCCACCCTTCTGAGATCCAAGAGATGCTGCATCCTGGAAATGCAAGGAGGTGGAGGGGAAAAAAAAAGTGAAGTTTTGTATCACAGGCTGAAACTACGACATTTATTGCACATTTCAGAGGTTATTTCTTAAAGATGATATAGCTACACTTATCATGTAGTGATATTAATATTCTGTAAACCCTGTCTGAAATGCTATAGTTATTTTATTTTATTTTATTTTAAACCAAAGAACAGGGATGAGCATCTAATTTTGATCGGTAAACTTTGCCAGTTACATATATATATATATATACGTATATATGTATACGTATATATATATATATATATATATGTAACTATATATATATATTCCTCTATGGTCAGCAGGATAATCCCACTTTTAGGAAGCTAAATATTAAGCAGGACAAACCCCACTGAAAAAAGAGAAAGCTTGAACCCCACTTAAAAAAAAGAAAGAGAAAACTTGAAGCATTTCCTTTTAAGTTTCTGCATAGATTGAATGCTTCCTGTGTGTTTTCAACAACTGCTATAACAAAAATAAAACAAGCTCATGCTTATCCTTCCTGAAAGTTATTTCTAAATAATTTTAAAAGSCTTCAATCAAGAACTCTCCAACTAAAAGCTTTGCCTTTTTGCTTCAAAAACGTGTCTGAAGAACTTAAGGAGAACCAAATCTTGCAATCTTGAATTTCATCTGTTCTTTTTACCTAGAAGAAGTCAAAGCCTTTGAAAAAGAACAAGACCAAACTCCACAGTAGCAGCAAATTCCGTATTTCCGTGGTAGATCTGACACAGGAATCACCTACCACACGTGCTGTGCTGACTCCCTCTCCCAGCTGCCCATTGCTGGAGCTTAGTAAATCTACACACAACCCCATAAGGGGTTAACAGCTACTACAAAGCAGCACTCTGCTACCCAAACCAAGCAAAACGACAGACCTGAAAGTACTTCAAGTCATCAGCTCAAGTAATACTGAAGAACGAACCAATATTGCCAAGAAGACAATTTTACTCCAGTTTCCAGATGAGGTAACCTCTTCTGGCACGACAAAAACAGTAATAAATCAGGACTTGTAGGAAGAGCTTTAACCATCTAGAGGAGAAATCCTCCTGATAAATTATTATGTGAGCATTCAAAAGTAGCTGAGCATCCAACTGTGAACAAAAAGATAAAACTTCAGCTTCCCTCAAATACTTTCTGATGCTCTTTCCCCACTATAAAGAGCTAGAAAGCAATTACATATTCCTCCAATATTCCTGTTCCTCACAATGTCAGTCAGGCCGCTATGGAAATTAGGCCCAGCGAGGACRACCCAGCAACCCAACTGTTTGAATCTCCATCCTTCCATTTGGGGTGAGCTCCCAGGCCAGATAATCAAGGCTGAGAAATAGCCAGTAAATTTACAGACACCCTGGAGAGTCTCCTTGGTGAAAGGACACTACCTACTTGTTCCTATTTGAGAGTCGCTATCCCCATCACTGTTTCATCATTACCCAGATAATACTTTTTCTYGTACAGCAACCAGCTTACAAACAAGAGGAATGAAAACGCTGTTCTTCCAAATGTGACCCCACCATTACAAATCCAAGACGCTGAGTTACTGTCAGAATTTGGAGCAGAACAGCCCAGGCCTAGCTGTCATTTCCCCAAGTCAGCTATACCCACACCACCTGACATGGAAAAAAATCCTTCATTACTTGTGTTTACAAAAATTAGGACAAAAATTAGGATTCAGCTCTATTAACACTCCATTTTCCTGTCCAAGCCTCTGACGTGCAAGTGTTTCCCCATTCTGTTGAACCACACAGGGCAACCCCGAGCACCGCTTGGGCCTCACTGCACCATTACTGTCAGGAAGAATTCTTACCTACGGAGATAAAAAAAAGAGTTTTGCAGCCTATCACCTGGTAATACAAAGGGACTTGGAACCCACAGTCATTAACACACAGCTTTTGCGCTGAAATCATACTTCCCGTTTCCTACTGATAAGTTCATTTCCCTATTTTTATTATTACCACTGCACATTAGGCTTCACTTTTTTCTTTCTTTCTTTTTAATGGTCTTTTCCACAAACTCAGTTCTAAAATTCACTCCAACAGTGATTGTTTCAACAAAAACAATTCCTTATCTTGATGCTGTATCCCACACGCTGATTGAAAAGCTCCATTTACAGACATCAACTTAATGGCTCAATAGAAGCAATCTACTTTTAAAAAGAGAATTCTCTCCACTTTACAAGGTATAAAAACTAAATTACTTTTTATCTGCTCTTTCTCCAATTTTATCATTTGTCACTATATTTGTTTGTATCATTCTCTTCAGAAACGAAACCAAAGATTTGCCTCTATGCTTTCTTAGCCTACAAAGGTGGCTGTGGTTGAAGAAAAGCCTCTGGCCTTCATTCAGCAGTTTCTACCCAAAGGTAATTGTTYTCCCGAGGAAAGACTTTTGCCCCTCCACACCTATTAAATTCACTTTTTCTTTCCTAGCACACTTCTTTATTCTGTTTGCATTTTAACAACAGACCTCTGTGACTTCAAAAGGAATAATGACACTGCAACTGTTCCTGTTGCAGCAAGAAATCAGACTATTGCAATTATTTCTTCATTTAATTGTTTTCATGCTTCACTTCACTGTTTTATAAATACTAGAATGATTTTGATACAGATATATGAAATTATTTGCCTAAATATCATAGTACATATTAATAGCAATGTTGCAGAAACAGCATCCCAAGACAGTCTGTTCTGTAATCCACCTATTCAGACATGCTCCCTGGACTACTTTTTCGAATTTAATCCAACAAATATTGTAAAGATCTATTTTTATTTCATAGTTTTCAGTTCAGAGAGCAAGGAAATTAAAGTAATTGTTAAATACTAAGAAAATATAAAAATCATTTCATTTTAGTTGTTGTCTGTGATGCAAGAGTTCAAGTAGTCTTAAAAAAAAACCTAATGAAAAAGACTTGGCATTTGACAACTCTATGTTTTTAAATAGGGCATGGTAAAAATAAAATAAAACACACACATAGCAGAAGCAGTTATTAAAAAACAGTATTTGGTATTTGAAGCATAGTAAAAATCACTTGGGGCTACAGACATCTCTAGTATTCCTAAATCAACATCACCACCATCTTCAGGATTTATCTACATTCAAAACTGATGTGAACAGTAACAAACTGACGTGAATTCACACTGTATGTTATGCTGTTAAGCCTGCTTGAGTATCTTTTGGAAAAAAATTATTTCACCATGATTTTACTCAGATTACCGATTCAAACCACCTGAAATATTCCTCTCTATAAGTCTACAAGAAAATAGTATAAATTAAGAGAGATTACCTTAAGGATTGTAGTTTACCAGTATTTAAACTTCTTCAGCTTCACTTTCTGCCCCAATTTCATCTACTCACCTGACAGATCTCGGGTACGCAAGACTATTTGAAAGGAGCTACAGGATTTTCCACCCAGGATGGTCTCTCTTTTTACCTCCTGCCATAAACACTTAAACCTAACTCCTAACCTGTTGTGACACAACATTCTTTAATGAAAGCAAGAGAAAGTAAGGAATTGTTATCATCTTACCTCATCTTTATCTGCATCTTCATCCACTTCATACAAATGAACCGGAAGCTTCTCTGATTTAGTCCCTTTACTAAGAAAGAAAAATATTCTAAAATACTAGAAATGTTGTGAGTAGTTATAGATTTCATAACTGTAAAAATAAGGAGCTTATTTCCTTAACTGAAGAGGACAAATCACAATCATAGCCAACTAAAACCATGTGTTTTTCATGAAATACATTTCTGATCCTGCCGTTCTCCTAATCTGCACACCCTGGCCACAATCCTTTCATTGTTGAGCTCAGAGCTGCCCCTACACGTAGCCAGGGAGAACAAAACGTTTTTTTCCTCCCACAAACACTATATTTGTAACATCTTAGATGCAAGAATTAACACCTGTAGCCGTTGATTCCTTTCAGGACAACTTACATATTATTCACCTTACTAATGACTTGCATGGTTTCTGTCAAGAAAAAATGAAGTGGCTTTAAAAAAAAACAGCAGTATTTGAGAAATTCTCGCAGGGACAGAAAGCTATTTCTTAATAGATACAGAACGGTAGGAAAGGACAACATAGATCTTGCACAGTTGCAGCAGTCAGTGTACTTAGACTCTCTCAGGTACTTCAGGTACTGTTAAGGATTGCTTCCCTGTAATATTTGGAAATATTTGGAAGATTGCTCTAGCAGACAGCCCAGAAAATATGTAATAGACTGCGTAGATTAGATTTCTGTTTTGAATCATCCCATGAAAACAACTGCACTACACATCTGCTTGAACCCTCCCAGCAGAATACATTGGCATAARATACAAATCCAAGTCCCATTAGCGCAGCTGGCCTTTGTAACTGAGAACTGCTCAATCCCATGAACTAGGATTGACCATAAAGGAAGCCAYCACACCTCCGCTTTGCTAGAAGAATGGGGCCAATTCTCATTCCTCCTTTCTTTATTTACACAACACAGTAAAAAGTAGCTCATGGGCCATGAGTTATCTTTGAAATGTCCTTCAAAGAATCCCCCCAGGAAATCATGCAAGAGAGCAAATCATTCAGAAAAGATGAATGAATTTTATGGTATTTGATGTTTACTTTGTAAGGGGAAAATGCAGGTAAAAAGGTTTAAAAATGAAAAGGAGCTGAAACAGAAAGCTAATTAGAGACTGAATTCTCAGAATGAGGAAGGTCATGAAAAAGACAAAATGTTTGGAAGAGAAATAACTAGGCCAAGATGATATTTGTTACTACAGCACAGAAAATAGGCAAGAAGAAAATTCTACTATGAATGAATATTAAAAAAGAAATAGGTTAACTGGTTAGCAGTAAGATGACAGACACATGCTATGAAAATGACAAACAGCAACGCAAAACACTGGGACCCATTGGATATGGCAGCATAAGCAATATTTTTGTTTTGAAATTGTTAATTTAAAGGGGCAGTGCAGAAATGAATGAAGAGAAAAAAAAATCCTTCTAATTCATCTTCCCCATTCCTCGCCCTATCAAAAATGATGAAGACTTCCAGAATGTGAAGAAGTCTTCAGGAGGCCTCTCCTTATGAATACACAGGAAATGCAGCAGAGCTTTTCAATAAAGAAAAAAGCACCTCCTATTGAAATCTAATCGCTTAACCATGTTTTGACTAAGATCTCTCTTCCAAAAAACGTGTACAGCTTTCACCACTTGCTAATACTAATTTACACGTTAATGAAAAGCACTTAGAGTATAATAAAACTATATTTTATTAAATATATAACAAGAGTTAATATCTGTATTCAWTTTTTTTCATATTTGTGCTGAAAATGTTTTATTTGCAGGTATATATTTCTTCAAGAACCCTGACAGAAGTACATACAACCAGTCAATCAGTCGATTGCTTTTAAGCAATTGTGAAGTAGTACTAGACTTAATCTCTGTAACAAGGATAAGCACATGCAACTCTAGAGAGATGTTTCATTTTAAAATGAATCTCAACCCCTTGTTTACACTTCTAAACTACCAGTCTGCTTTTTAAGAGCACACTGTATATCCTTACAACGCTCAAAATTAATTGTGTCCACTTTTCTCAGCTAATATCCTATAAATATTTTTCCATTAGCCTTTATTCTCTTGATGCCTGGAGAAAGAGCTCAAAGTTTCCTCTGAAATTATAAAAATCAAGACAAACCAGTATCAGTTTCAACTAAACTTTGCCCTGTTTCAGTTATCCTATTACTCTCAAGTTATCAATAACATCAATTCTCACTCTGACATCTCTGTGAWTAACTAAGATCTTTCCAGGAAATGACTGAAGTCCATTTGATACCTTCAAGTTCATTGGCATTAAGAAATCCCAAGAGTATCTAGCGAGTAGAAACCTGCCTGGATGTGATCCTGTGCAATGTGCTCTGAGTGACCCTGCCTAAGCAGGGGCCGGTTGCATTAGATGATCTCTAAATCATCCAKAGATCCTCAACCATTTGGGGATTCTGTGAGTATTAAACACTGATAAAACATATTTCAATTTCTACATTACACAAATTAACATATTTCTGGAATAGATTTAAAGTTAATTCTATAATTCAAAAGTCGCATTATAGCAGCAGATAACATACTCACTTTGGAAGCTGTCGAAAGTCTCCTGAGTAATCTTCATATCTATAGTTAACAACATGCCAGTCTGAATTGTAGGTTTTGATGCACTATTAAAAAAAAAAAAAAAAAAGTGAGCATTCCCCAGGCACACAAAAACCTCCTATGTTATAGCCATTTATGAATTACTATTGTAACCTGCTGAATACACACTATGCGTAAAAGAAACGCACCTTCAGACCTAGTTTCTCTTAGCTGCTTGCGTGAGTTGTCAATTCCCTTGGTTCTGACCAGGATCTTAACTGCTTTACCTTTGTTATTTAGCTGAACCTTTGGGGCAAAATATCTTGCCAGTTACAATTCTGGCAGCTCTTTTTTGTATTGTCTGCTTTTTCAACTGATACACGTTCAGTTCATCTTTTAACATCTGAAACACGATGTTGTAAGTATCAGTTGTAATTCTAGGAAATCTGAGGGAGTTCCAAACACCATGATCTATCTCAAATTTTAATATGATTTGTTCATAATAATAGTTRCCCTTAATACCTGTTTGAAGTAATTCTAAGAAAAAAAGAGGAAATTAGACTAAGGGAGGAACACAATGGGTGAATCATGAAGATTAATGAGCTACAGCAGAAGCAATTGTTTGGAAAATAGTGCATTTGTATTTTGAAAGATATTAAAATCTTTTTGAAATATTAGGTGCTGTATTTGTGTGTGGCTAAGTCTATTAGTATAGCATAAAATTTTGTACCATATAGTTTCTGGCAATATTTTGTTAGTTTTATGTTCCTTTTGTAGAAGCCAAGCCAAACCAGAACTTTCATGTTTTAGCAGTTTGGGTGGAGTACAATGTTATTTTCCACAATCTTGTCCAGGCTCAATGATGTAACAGATTTTTAACAGCTGCAAGCGTGCGCTTTCAATTTAAATATTCATTTAAAGCCACTAAAAGCATGCGTTTAAATGAAAAATTAACCTCCGCTCCTCTGTTGTAGTATGTGCAATGYGTTTATACTGTAATACTGAGTTTTCAGAGTTACGTTTTTTCAGTTCCAGAGCAGTATGACTTTGACTATGAGGCCAATCAAAGGYGATCAATTCAGACGCTTACTGAGTTCACCGTTTTCTTGTTTTATAAAAACACATACTTCTAGCAGATGATAATATTGTATTGAAATATGTTACCTGCTGCAAGAAGTTGCACTGCAGTAAATTGTATTGAAAATGAAAGAAATTGTTCCAAATTTTCTAAATGTAACAGGTAATGATAGTAATTCAGCAATCAGGATGAATTTTGCCCTCTAGAAATGCTATCGCTGTTAGGAAGGTATAGTTAGGAAAACTTCTGTTCCAGCACAATGTAAAAACTTAATTATGAACAAACATAAGCAATTAGGTCATGGAAGAAAATGGCATGGAGTGAATTTTTAATATAAAAGGGAAATAATGTTGATGCGTTTAGATTCACTATTGCTCCTAATATTAGCCAAAGGTATATAAATCAGCCATAATGATCTGAGAAAGCCCAAAGCATAAAGTGTTAGGGTGCAGAGAAGCATCTGCAAAAGGCAAATACACAGATGAGATCCTTTCCAGCAAACAATGGAAAAAGTGCCAGTTGCCATTGTCAAATAAAGGGCAATGAACAGTCAAACAAACAGCAGTGAACAGTTAATCTTTTTGAGATTTGGATTTGATTTTTTTTTTAAAAGGGTAAATGAAGAAGAATCAAAGCAATGCATGTGTAATATTGCTGCCAAACACAGCAGCGTGCAGTTTCAGCCTTACCTCAGTTACAAACAAACTTTGAGCTTCTTTCTCTGCGTTTTCAGGGACGGTGGAATGTATGTATCGACTCTGCCGTTTCAATAATGCTGTCTGATAAACAATAACAATAGAAAATTAATGAMACTTGCAATTAGAGCAGTGATGATACAATATGGCAACATTCAGCTACATCACCGCAAGTASGTTGGAAGCCCAGCTGAAAACACCCTGTGAATACAATTTAAAACTGCCAATTCAAAATTTATTTTCATTCAGAAAGTACCAACTTGTTCCTTTCTCCTTGCCAGGAGGATGAGATTGGAACCTGTAAAAATTCCACAAATTAACAAATTAACATAACAAAACAGGCTTTCTTTTATTCTATTAACATGGGTAAGAAAATACAAACAAAAATAATTTCACCTTGATGGCATGGTTCTAATGTCTGAAGGCAGACATTTAGGCAGTGTTATTGTTACCTATAAAAACTATTAYTCAACAAAGTAAGAAACCCAAAGATGAGGATTTCAAGGGCAGATCTCAGCTTGCAAAGATGAGAATTGCACTGTAAAACCAAAGGCAAGAAAGGTAGCCATGATTCCTGCATACACTCAAGCGTATCAAAGGACACTTAATAAACCAGAGCCTAGTCTTATTTTATGCCAGAGTTTGGAGAAGCAGCAGAAAGGCTGCCAGAGTGCAAGAAATCTCTCATGATCATGAAATTTCTATAAATACACAGACTGAAGTAAGCGATAAGCATTTAAGTATAAAAGATGGAAAAATGACACCGTCAAAACCTACTGAAGAGCAAGTGAAAATAACTGCAAAGCCAATAGCTGCACATCTAAAAATGAGTCTTCTGGCTGGGTCACGCTGTRGACACAAAAACTTCCACAGCCAGGACCTGAATGGGAGGTTTTGTACGGCAGCACCAGAGCACAAGTAACATTACAGGGCCAGGAAGGATCAGGGAAGACTGCGAAGAGAGAAATCTCCTCACGCTGCTGGGCAAGCAGGAATGACAGGCGAGGACATTATGGTCAATTGTCTCCACTGAAAGTTTACTCCACGGAGTGGTTTCAGTATTTCTGTTGCTATCAAAGCCTCATCCTGTTATCTAGGGAGCACATTTGAAGTTGCAATACCCAAGTACAGCACAGGTTTAAGAAAAGAAAAATATATTATCAGGGTGAGGTGGTCTGTCTAGTCCAGTACTCCAATGAAAAGTGTCAATGTTAACTGCTTGGATAGGAGGTGGGGAGGGATCAAAAGCAAAATCTATAAAAAGAAACAAAAATCTCACAGGATCTTGTAATACACGTATAAACTCTTTCCATTTGCTAAAGATTAGCTGTCCCCTGCAGCAAGATATTCATTCACACTGAAACAGCGTTTAAGAATGATGTATTCTGAATTCCAGGAACATATTCCTTATTTTAACTACAAAATTAAAAAGTTATTTCAAATTACACACTGCATTTTAARTATTTGATTTTATAAACACACTGAAGTATACTTGTTTATTAAAATATATATTTTTTACARTAGATGCACAATATATGGCTACATAGCATGATATTATGACTTACAGATTTAATACAAAGCTCACGCCTCATTCTACATGAATGGCTGCTCAGCACCTTGAATATTCACGATCTCTGCAGTCAAACCAAGACACGGTTCTTTCGCTTTTCAATCTCAGGTCAAAAAATGAGTCAGCAAATACTATACGGGAACAACATCCACCATCTTTCACAGTGAACGAAGCTCATTTTCTGGCCGTCAGAGAAACAGCCTATGGTTTGCCTTAGAAAATACTGGTGATTTGCCAGCAAAAGCAAAATCACCTGTGACTGTCATACATCCACTGCATGCCTGCATAAAGCTATGGCAGGCTTGAAAAAACGGAAGCAGAGGTACATAATTGTGCAGCTTCCACTGCTGTTCTCCTGTGACATAGTTGGGTCATACGGGTGCAAAGCCTTCTCTGCTCTTCCTCAAGTAAAAGATTATCTTGGTAGTGCAGTATGATCAATTATGAAGCAGAAGAGTTTTAATTTGTTCACATTAGCAACTGTGGCAATGCATGCTGCTGCTTTCTCAAGTACATCAAGCCATCGGCTGCAGTAATTCAGAGAGTCAGGAAATGTAACGAGTGATAATATCTTTTCATTTGGAGCTACCCCAAAAAAATAATTACTAAAGCAACAAATAAGGAGATTTTGAAACATGACATTAAGGTTCTGCAGAAAGTATGTGGAGATTATGTCATTTGAACTCTTTTGTAGCAGGAACATGTTCCAGCTTTCGGGGCTTCWCTTGCCCTCTGATTTATTTCGGCATCAGGAGCTACAGAACGTGTGCCCTGTGTTCTCAGGGATGAAACCCTTCCCGTCACCGTGCTGTCAAACGAAGGCAGACTGGGATTCCCAGGCGCTTGTGCTGACCCTGCTTTCCGACTCACTGCAACGTGCAGCACTCCAGGCTCAGGTGTCCCTGGAGGGCCTGGCAGGAAAGGCATTTCCCCGAATTCCACAGCCAAGGACTCCTGGCGGCTCCAAACCCACTGGAATTCCCATGGAGAAGCTACAGGCTGGGCAGGCCGTAAGGGCTACAGCTTCAGCTGGCCTCTTTCTGGTTCAGGCTCCTTCTGTTTGCTAGGGAGATTTAGCACTACTTAGGACTTGGAAATAGCCAAATACAGATTTTTTGTGTTAAGTATCTCAAGCTAGCAGGTGTTCTCCTATTCTAGGCAGCTTCCAGTTATGTTTTACTGGTGTATTTACTGATGTATACGTAAAATATTTTACTGCTGTTGAAATCCGGCATGCAATTCTCTGACTTATGTTAGCTGATCATCCCCACGCTTGAGGGGAAAGTAACAGAAAAATGCCCAGGGTTCCTTTCATGATGAATGTGCTTTTGTGTGGGGATACCAAGGACTGCCAGAAGACATTCAAGCATTTTGTACTACTGCTCTGCAGACCTAAGTATTGAAACAATCATAAAAACGGGGTATGATAGGCCTTTTTCCAGGTTTATACCAATTACTGCAAAGTATGAAGCAACAAAATGACAATCTTTAAGTTTCAGCAAATGGACAAGCAGCATGTATACATTTTTCAAAACAAAAATACAAAATATTTAAAYGTTTAATTTAGTTCTCAAAATGATATACTTTTTTGGGGAATAAGGTGCTGATGCCTACATTTCTTTAGCAAAAAAAAAAAGTCAGATCTTCTTAAGCTTCCAGTGTTTTCTCTAACAGGTCAAGGCAGCCCAGGGTTTGTTTCTGAGCAATTCTACCCCCAAAACCAGGTCCCATATACACCTATTTCARAAGCAAAGTCTAGAAGTACATGCAGGCGAGAGACAGAAGCCAACCAACCAATATTTAAGTCTCTTAATATTTGCTTAAAGCCAAATGTCCAAGAGCCCTAGTTCTGTTTTCACTCGTTCACCTCCTTTTTATATTGGTACACCTACCTTTGTTATATTGGTATGTATTTTTTGCTTCCCTTTGGTAGTACTTAAGGATTTGGTGTCCCCTGACGMGGTTCCTCTCTTCCTGCTCAATAAATTTGACAATCACTTAACAGTGATACTTTTATTCTTGGTTTCTATTAAGTCTCAGCAGCTACAGTGAATAGAAAAAGCGCAGTCTCACTGCCGACGGAACAAAGTCTCTGCCAAGACCCATTTAAAAAATTACTTTTTCTTCTTTCCAGGCTCTTTCTAGAGATTGTTGCCGAGTATGAACTGCTAAATTTTCCCCTCTCCTCCTCTCCAGGAAAACTGGAGAAAGAAATATAGGCAAATAATTCAGCAGTCACTTACCCAAGCCATTCGTACTTTGGATGCTGTTACATTGAAGTAAATCCTCAAGAAGCAATGACAGAAATTGTTTTAAAAGACAGGCAATAGAATAAAAGGCATGTGGTATGCTAGGATCTTGCCCTTAGAGTTTCTAGATGAGACTTATCAGCTGTAATGGCCGTGACAGAAGCTGAATCACAAGGTAATTCCGAAAGCTGAAATGCAGCCTTGTTTTAGAACACTCAGCTACTACTTTCCCATGCACGAAAAGGACTTCAAAAGAAAGAAAGTCTGGCAAGACTCCTTTGAACTTTTTGATTGAAATTTCTGTTGTCTCTAAAAGGAGGATATTAACTGCATGTTAAGATTTTCTTACTTTTTTTTCTCTCTACTCAAGGTGTGTTTTCTTGTAGGACTACTTACGTTTACTATTATTTCCGCAGCACCAGCACCATCTATTTTCAGAGCTACACTGCACTAACTAAAAGGTGAGAGCTTTAAGCAAGTGTTCTATAAAAGACTTTCAGTTCTGTTCCTCTTCTTATAGACCATGTTGACTAGTGTAAATAGGAACGTCTGTTTTTTAAAATCTTTTCCTGTTAATACCCAAGACCTTCACACCTTTTGGAAGCAGCAAAGAACCAAGATAGAGGGAGAAAAAAAAAAACAGCAAACAGTCGGAAACAGTGCCAGTCCTGGGCAGTATTGAAATCCAGGCAGAGAGTTTGCATATAACCCATGGAGCTTCTGGAGAGGGTCCAGAGAAGGGCAACCCGGATGATTAAGGGAATGGAACATCTCTCGTATGAAGAGAGGCTGAGTGAGCTGGGCCTGTTTTCTCTGGAGAAGAGACGGCTCAGAGGGGATCTGATTAATATGTATAAGTTCAGGAAGGGAGAATGCAGGGAGGAAGGGGACAAGCTGTTCTCACTGGTGGCCAGCGATAGGACGAGGGGTAATGGCCACAAGCTGAAGCATAAGAAGTTCCGTCTCCAGGTGAGGAGCAACTTCTTTACTGTTAGGGTGACAGAGCAGTGGAACAGGCTGCCCAGGGAGGTTGTGGAGTCTCCTTCTCTGGAGGTCTTCAMAACCTGCCTGGATGCCACCCTGTGCCACATGCTGTAGGTGTGCCTGCTTGAGCAGGAAGGTTGGACTAGATGATCTCTAGAGGTCCCTTCCAACCTTAAATATTCTGTGAATCTGTGAGATACCTTGTTTAAAATAAGGACACACAGACAGCTCAGGAGGCAGAGCAGGTGTATATATACACAGCAGTAGTTTTCAGTACAAAT